CAGTAGAAGAATAAATTGTCTTTAGTAAGTTTCAACAGTTTCATTTTAAAGTAGTTTCTTGTTTGCTGAAATCATATTTCTCACCATTAGCTTTATAGTATTCAGAGATTGATAACATTGTGCAGTTTATTATCTACATTGTAAAATGAAGAATATACGTAAGTATGTGAGTTTGTCGTTTAGAGTAGAGACAGAGCTTCGAAATTTAGAACATGTATTATACGAAAGTTGAGGATGTCCAGTTCGAAACGATATTTCCAAAATTGGATTTTAGATTTTTTCTTCCTTATACAAAGTAAAGGACGTATTGTAATCGCGAAAAAATTTCGGTATCATATTTCAACGAAAATATCTAATTTGACCGCTCTCGAATCCATTTAAACGATGATTTTGCGTGACATCTGTACGTACCGACACATGTCAGAATTAAGGACAGAATAAAGAATGCTTTTTCCCAAAATGGATTGTAAAATGGATTGAAAAACGCAACGATTGAACTTTCCGAATTTCACTAAGCAAAATAGTCGGTTCTGTTAACCATTTATACACCAAGATCGCAAGCAAGGGAATGGGATAATTCCTTGCAAATGTAAAAGTGCATGGTTATAGTGTATGAAGATTCATTATCGAAAGTGAAATTGCACATGGGCGTAAAAAGACTTATTTATGTTGTAGTGACCCAGTTATTGCATGAGAAATAATGATTTTTTATTTCATATATTTGTTCATGTGTTTAATTTCTTTTATGCTGAATGGCAACAAGTAGCTCAATCTATATTTAAATTTTTTTATGCGATGCAACAAGTGCTCATTTTATATTTAAATTTCTTTATGCTGAATGGCACTAGTTATGATTCATGTTTGCCTGGTTTTGGTTTTCCAATCGTTTGTTAGTAGCGTGCATTTCGATAGCTGGAAAATAAAAAGCAATAAACTTAGCTATTTGTTTATAATTCATGCTGTTCCTAATCATAATTTAGTTTTGAACATTAGTAGCCAAGGCAACAATATATTTTTTAATTAAGGAAAGTTATGTCTGATGTCAACCCTGTCAGATGTAATAACTTCTGTCTTTTCTGAGGATGAAAAATACTTTCAGTATTTCTTTGAAAGCTGTAGTTCTAAGCTATCTGAAATTTTGTTATCGAATTAATGCGCTTTGAGTAAATTTCTCTTAATTTAGATTTAACGAAACAGCACCTCTAATATGCTTTTAGTTTTTTGTGATATCTCAACGAACATTTAAAAAGCAATTTTCATTAAAACACGACCTAAATGCTTTTTATTTTACAATTCCATATTAGTGTAATAAATTTTTCACATATTTTGCACCCTGATCAGTTATATGTAATCTTGAATTATTCTTTAACTGAAAATCTAGTAAGTTTTTCTGGAGGCATCTGTTACTTGGAATAATTTAATACTAACAACTTAATATTAATTCGATTAATTGTGACAGAAATCTGAAAATCTAGAATTGTCTCTTATACAAACGTTTCTAATGGCTGAAGTCAATTTTGAAGCGTCAAATTGACTCAGTTCAGTCACTATGCGTGCATTCACTAGCATACTGATTGAAGTCAATTTTCAATCAGTATGATAGCGATTGTACAAAACTGGACCTACCAACTAATGTTCTTTCAATAAATTACTAAATGCTCTATGAATATTTTTTTTTTTCTTTCTAAATTTAGGTTCAGTGAAACATTATCTCTAATACACTCTTGGTTTTTCACCTTTGCTCATCAAATAATAAAGAAGCAATTTGGGTTAAGTTATGAATTAAATTTATTTTACAAATCCTTATTAGTGTAATTGTTGTTTAACATATTTTGCAACCTGATCAGTTGCATACTGCCTTAAATTATTCTTTATCTGGTTAGTTTACAAGCAGGTATTCATTACTTGGCAAGCATTTAACATAAACGACAGTACTAAAATGTAGTACTGACTATAATGAAGGCACACATTAACTGTAATGGGAAAAGCATATAGTGAATAGCATATGTACTGCAGATAGGATTTAGGCACACAATGTGTGCAGCACCTCGTGAACCATGATTTAATTAACGCAACAGTAATCCTAATTAAGTACACTACTATAACACTGTTATTAATATAATTTGCATCATGTATAATCCGCGCCGTGTGCAGTACGATGTAATTTATATACAAGGATATAGTATGCCTTTAATATAATGTGTGACGGAGAATGAAATATGTCGTTAATGAATAGAATATATAAATTGAATTTAGCACATTGTACCCAATGAATATAGCATTCTGCATTCTATGTTTAAAGTACTACAATAGTAATTTTTGTTAAAAAGTAATATGAGTAATTCTTTATTGCACATTGTATAATGTTCAGCTATTTCATATAATCTGTATTATGCTTTTATTTGTTGTTATTGTAATTAATGTATTATGTGCGTAGAGATGTTCTTTTGAATTAATTAAATACCAAAGTCAATGCCTATGTAGAATGCAAATTCAACAAACTCCGGTTTGGATTTTGTAGTCTACCAAGGAGTGCTGTCCTAGACAATTGCAGGAACGGAACAGGTGATCAGTCTATGTAAGCCGCCCGGGTGTCCTGCTGTCACCTGTTTACCTAGCGATGTCCTCTACGCTAGACAACGATCAGAAACTGACCTCTTCAATAGACAGATAGGGTTTTATCCAGAAGCCCAGGAAAATGAACTTAGTTCACAAAGCCTAGCGATGTGAATTAGCAGGGCTAAAGGAAAAGAAGGGTTGGGTCGTCCCTTTGAGAGGAACAATGCCGACACGAACCACGGCCAACAACAAGAATTGTTTCGTGAGAATAAGTTTCTATTATTGACCGTTTACTCCACAATTTCTAATGCTTTTTGAGTGAAAATAGAACGCTGTGTACATCCGGAGAAGAATATCGTAAAAAAATTACAGAAATATTTGAAGAAGAATAAGTTTTGATTTTTTTTCAATATATCATGTAATCCTTATTTAATAATTAAAATTTGCATTTTATATTGATAAAGTGAGTGTTCTTTTCATATATTGATAATGTTTACCAGCTTACAATAAACATCGATAGTCTGGGAATCTTTACCACCCCCTTGCTCCCCGCTAACTTTTTGTCTGCAAAAAATCGCCAAATTGCGCAAAGGTGGCTGCGTTAATAAGTTTTCCATTCTAAATTACTGCGTGTTGGCAGCCCAAAGTATATTTTATCTTTGATATTTTAATCTATTCATTCATTATTTTATAGGTTTATTGCAAGACTAGATCACCTTCGCGACTTTCCATATTTTCAAAACTGGAGTTTTGAAAAATATTTTATATGAACAAATACAGCTGTATCACCAAATCTTGTTATATTTTATAGTATAGTAACTTTTACCTCTATAATATTTAACAGCTAATTCTTTTACTATTATGTATTTCTAGATGAGTAGATTCATATGTAAATTTTTTCAGAAAAACTGAGAGTTCAACGTTAGAAGACCTCCATTGTTAGTTTAAGGTTATGACAAAGCCCTGTGTAGGAGATTTCAATAAAAATGTTCTAATTTATATATACGTTTGTTGTATCATAACCTGAGAGATTCTAGAAAATCTACCAATCAATCTGATCAGGAGGAACAGATAGGAGATGTGTGCACTTTGGGAAAGCTTTATTATAGGGAAAGCTTTATTGGTAAAAAGGTGTTAAACACCAATTGAATGGACAAGTGCCCCTACCTGTGACCAAAAACAATTCCAAAAGTTCCTGAATTGTTGATGGTAATAATTTTGATATAATTTGTCAGAAAAATAAAAGTAGGGTTTTTTTTTTTTAGCCCAAAGGGGCGGTAGACGAGAAAGCCTATTAGTCACAAAGCGGTAATCACTTTTTTAATTTTTGCCGTAAATTAATATCGCCTTGCATTATATTTAAGGAAATTACATAATGAAGATTCTACATGAATGTATGTATGTTTCTCGCATTGTGAAAAACGACGGCACCTAGAGCCATTCACTTTTGAATAACGTAATCCTGCACCCGAACATGGGCACCTGGAGGCCCAAATTTTGAATTTGTTTTATTATCTATTTCATATTTTGTAAACCTTTAACGAATTTTTGATTAACAAACTCATCGATTTCAAAGCGAGCAATGACAACACTGTACGGAAAAAAAGCATTTTTATCTGTAGCGGGGAGACTGTCTATCGGAAATTCTAAGGATATGCTGTTTTTAAATATTTTATGATATTGCTGTTGAATTGAATATTGTGTGGTTTAAGGTTGAAGAACATGATATTTAATTAATAAACGTAGCACACAAAACGTTAAAAAAAGTACCTTTTTGCGTAATATAAAATCTCGAAGCTTTCAGATTTTTTTAAATTTTATTAATTCTTTTTCCAAATTTTGGGCTTGGTGCTTTTAAATTTTTGTTCTAAACATTAGAGGAACCGCATTAAAAAAATGCAGGAAGCTCTTGAGTTGGTGCTATGACATATAAATAAACAAGTACAAATTATATTTGCCAGTAGCATGTAGTAAAGTTGCACAGAAAAGATACAAGCAACACAGGTAATAATCAAGTGAATTTAAATTTCAAATGCTGTATAGAATAAACACACAGAGTGACCAAGTATACATAATTGCGTTAATTTTCCACGTTAAAATTAACTTGCCCTTAAGACTGTGCGTATGAAATAACTTCTTTCCATGTTCTGGTCCTTACTTCAATGTTCCTCGTTTCGTGGCCAATCCCCGGAGGACGCAGTACTTTAGTTATATTTATTCATGTATTTTTTTTAATTCCATCGACGGGATCCAACAGGCTGAAAAGCACCTAACCCAGTGGGCCAGCTGTTCCGTCGATGGTGAAAAGAAAGAAAGCTATTTCTCACCACGTGGTATTAGAAAGTCCTAGTTGAACAATTTTTAGTACTTCGTGAACGGGACAAGGTTACACCTAGTTTATTATGTTATAATGAAACTTGCTTGGTCACCTAACGGTCATTCGTACTTGAAAATCTCCAAGGATTTGTTTGTTCTTTATTTGTAGATGTTGAATTGTGTCCTGCCCTGCTTATTCTCAGAAATTCTTTTGTAGTCTGTTGCAAGACACGGAGATAAAGGACATTGAATACAACCGTGAGTGCCTGCCAATGGCATAAATTCTTACTCATTGCACCCCTTTGTCAAACAATATTAGTAAGTACTAAAGAATGTGAACTCCTTCAGTAGTCTGTATTCCAGCTTTTAATATCATTTAGTCGCTGCTGGTTTCCCTTACCTTGACATACGGAAACATTTTAGGCTTTTAGAAACAACGTTTGGATAGCCATACGGAAGTTTAACTTGAAGGTAAGATTATATTTCTAAATTTTATCCACATTTTAGCAAATTAGTATATATCAATCTGATACAAAGAAAGTTTTTATATTATTTAATAATTGTTTAGACCAGTTTTAGTTAGTAAATTGTTTAGTTAGTATTGTTTAGAAAAGTTAATTATTCCATCTTTCTTAACTACCGGTTTCAATTATAATAATTTTTATGCATAAAATTTTAAACTTCTTTCATTCTGTTTTTATATTCAATAGTAAGAGCTGCTAATACTGCTTTGTCATTATTACAGTTTATGATTTAGTTTCTTTGTTTCTTTACAATGACATTTGAAAATAATAAATAGTTTCTACAATATTTATAAATAACAATGAAGTAGAAACAGGGAAGATTCTGTGCAAATGGTAAATGGTTTTCAACCATCTTACTTAAAATTATTTAGTCCGGTTTTTGTGATTACGGCAAAGCCTCTAGAGCTATCTTCCTAAGGAAAGGGACGCTTTCGTGGAGGACTTTTTAAGGGAAACTGGTTCTTATACACGTTACACATGCGAAAAACCATGAAAACGCATATGCAGCCGGCCTTTTCCCGGAATTTGAACCTCAGGCCGAACTACGGGTGTTTAAGCGACTTTACCGCTTGTCCGCTGGTGGGCTCTACTAAAAAATTATAAAAAATATTGAAAACACAAGCATACTGGCTCTCTGTCGCAGTAAAATTAAATGATAGTCTCTTAAAATTAAAAATAAATAAATAAATGAAATAAAAGTGTTATTTTTTAAATTACTAATGCATATTTGTATGTAATTAGCTTAATTTAATTCCCTTTTAGCTTATCTTAAAAGTTTTTAAAATGATTTGCTGTATTTAATTTGCTTTTACCATAATTGTTTTAAACAAACTGCTTCGGAGAATTATAGCTTATTAATTAATTTTCATCCACAAATTGTAATATTTACAATTAATTTGATTTTGAATTCATATTTATTTTATTACTAGTTTTGTACTTGTATATAGTACTACTTGTATTTGTACTTGTCGATAGTATTACAATTTTGTTTCAATTTCTAAACTATTACGGATTTAGAAAAATTTTCCACTTTGATTGCATATATTATACTCCTATTTCTTTAAATTTTCTGCTGGTTAGATTTCTATATATAAATACGTACTTCTTTTTCGGCATTTTCTGTTACCGTATGTTAAATTCCACGGTAAATTTATTTGCATCATAAACTTTATGTCAAATTTCCAACACGTGTTATTGTGTTTTTTAGTCACATGGCTTGGGTAAAATTAAGGAACAATTAACCCTCATTAATGGAAAATTAGATAATTTACGGCTTTCAATTTTATTTTTGATTTTATTACATTCTTTATTGTACGATTCAGAAACATGGCTAACGTAGAACGTGATATCGATCCCCTGAAGACATTTAACATCGGATTTCACTTTTCTTGAATTATATTTAATACTTATCTCTTTTATACGCTGATGTATAAAATTCTGGCTGATTCGAGATGGAATATAAATTTTTTGTTATATTTTGTGCTGAAGTTTTAGTTACATTTGTTATATTATCAGTCATGTGCTTATCTATGGTTCATCGATATCGATGGTTACTGTTTCTTCCATACCGAAAAAATTTGTTCTCACGATTTTAAGTGAAGTCTTTCATTTAGACAGTAAATATACTATTTAAGATTTTATGCAACTATATTCTCTCAAAGAATTGTATATTTTAATGCAGCATGTTCATACACTCGTATCTGAATGCAACATACAGACAATCATGACTTCATTGTTTAGAGTGATTGAAAGAAAACGATCTAGAAAAAATGGCATCGGCATCATTATTAATGCTCGTGTCATTTTTCATTAGAGTCTGTTGCCATTCGGACAAACGATATTTACATTTCAAATTAAATTTGTTTGCTGTGACTTCACAAACTCAGCCATTTGAAAATAATCATTGCAGTTCTTAAGAATATTCGTTTCTTATAACTGAATCACATTTATATAAATAATAAAATGCATTTAATGCATGACCTAGTTACAAATATTCAATATTTTCATTAGAATGACGTTATATATCTTTTGTTATTATTCCTAAAAGGAGTTAGACTCAAAACGGCATTTTGCGTCGTTTCACTTTCTGCGTTGATTCAGTTTTTCTGCCACCAAATGTTATCCCTATTTATTATCCTTGAAGAAACTACAAGTAAATAATGAATCTACATGAATTCATGAATATTCCTCGGATTGTAAAAAAATAACGGTAACAGAGCCATCCAATTTTGAATAACGTAGTCCACCAACCGAATATGGGCCGTTGAGAGCCCGAATTTTGAATTGTTTTATCTGTTTCAAATTTAGTAGAACTTTAAAGAATTTTTGATTAAAGCGATTTCAAAATGAGCAATGGCGATAACTTTACTGAAAACACACACACACAGTTTTACCTTCAGCGCGCGACTCTGTGTATCGGAAATTCTAAAGATACGCTCTTTTTAAATTATTTTGGGATATGTCTGTTGAATTGAATTTTATGGTTTTAATGCGAATAACGTAATATTTAATAAATAAAGGTAACACACGTAACGTTAAAAAAAACGTCCTTTAGGGCGTAATATAAAATCGGAAAGCCTTTCAGATTTTAAGTTTTCCTTTTATTTCTTATTTTTTAAAACTTTAATGAACTTTTGGTTAATAAACTCAACGATTTGAAAGCAAACCTTGTACAACGCTCGCTTTCAAATGAAATATTATTTTCATTTCCAGCGCCACATACAATCTGTCGAGAATTCTAAAAGTATGCTGATTTTCCTTATTGGATTGAGATTTATGTGGCGGACGTAGGAACAAAGGCTGTAAATAGTTGCAGGTCACACTTCTTACAAAGGACGGAGAAGGAAGGAAAAAAGGGAGGAGGAAAAGGAGAGAAAAGGAAAAGAAAAAGGGCAGGAGGGAAGAGAGAACGTTAGGGAAAGTTAAAGCACGGAACGGGAATAAAGGTGGGAAAAAAAAGCGGGAAAAACTGGCAGAAGGGAGAGAGGACGCCCAAAGGGCGGTTGGGGGGTGCCGGGGGGGGGGGGGGGGGGAGGGGGGTGGGGGGGGTGGGGGGGGGAAAAAAACGGGGTGGTTTTGTGTGTGCTACACTTTTATTAATTAAATGTCACGTTCTTAGACCACTAAACCATAAAAATTTTCAAATTTCAACCGGGAACTAATCGTTTTTTAAAATAGTTTAAAAAAAGCGCATTTAAAAATAGTTTTTATTTAAAAAAAAGCAAAAAAAGCGCAGAATATCTTTCGAAATTTCCGATACAGTCTCGCGCGCTGGAGGATTTCTGGAGCTGAGATTTGGAGATAAAATTAAAAAAAAAAAAAAAAAAAAATTTTCGTCTACAATTTTGCCTTTTTTTTAACAGATCGGTTTTATGAATCTCCATTTCTTTAATTGAATTTCTTAATGAAAAATTCACACATGCTTTTTTACAAAATATGAAATAGAAAAAAACAAAAATTAAAAGACAAGAAATTAAAAAAGAAATTCCAAACCTTGGCTTTCCAAGCCCCCACATATCTTGGGGAGACGGTAAGTATTGAAATTTGATCGGCTGTAGGTTTGTAGGTACCCGTTTTGTTTGTCATGTTTTATCAAAATGCGGGAGAGGCATGGAACATGCATACATTTATGCAGATTCTTCATTATTTAATTTCTTTAAGTATAACACAGGGCGATAATATTTGGTAGCAACAATTTGAAAAGTGAAATGGACATTTAAAGTTTTCAACGCAAAATGGAAAAACGCAATTAATAGCCCTTCTGGGCTAACGCCGTCTGGGCTAAAAGGTTTTGTAAGTCATCTTGCTAAAAAAACTGAACGCTGATATAATGAACTGAGAAAAGACTGGAAAGAATAGAGAAATGCATGCTAACATTTAACACTGAAGCTGAAATGTTAAACATATGGTGTTATTAAAATTTTTATGATTTTTCTGTTGATTTCTATATGGCGCAAGAGCGAAGAAAACGGTGCTTGATAATAAAGCTAAAAAGACAAAAAAAAAAAGGGGGGGAAGGGTTAGTTGGAGTGAATACTACAGCATACTATTAAACTGCGAGCTAAGCGAAAGCGTAAAAAAAACTGTAATCATTTTGGATGATCGTTAAAATGTAAAGTGTTTCAGATATTTTCTTTATCAAAAATTTGTTAATAATTTCTACAAAATTTATTAATGATATTTCTTGTAAAAGTGTTGAAAGTGTATAAAATATTTTGTGATCAGGCGCATTGAATGAATGGTGGCTTATCACTATTCTATTTTTAACGTAATCCAAAAAAGGCGTAGATCCAGCGCTTCGAGCATCGAAATGTTTACATTTAAAGTTTAAGAAATTAAAAAATTATCTTTATAAAATATTAAAATCAAAAGATTAAGCAATCTGATCTGGATATTTAAATTTTAGTTCAACGCTTGAAAGAGATTTAAGCTAAGCAATTACGATAGGTCTACTAGTAAAATATTATGTTTGGAAGCAGCTATTTAAAATGGCAAAGCCAATGAGCAAGGACTATTGTATTATTTCACCTCAGTTTGATTAGACATTTGTGCACTTATTTAATTAAAAAAAAGGTTTTAAAAATTCGAGATATAGCTCCTTTTCCGCGAACTTTAAACACTGCACCTTTTCCTTCGTTTCATAGCATTTCTCCATTCAGGTTTTTTAATATTTTTATGATAAGCATACTCAATTATTATATTTATTGTTATACTTTATTGTCATTACCATATCATCTTATGCTGTCTTTATTTTCTCAGTCGTTCGTCTTAGACTTATAACTTTAAACAAAAAAATTTTTGTGTATGATACAGATATTCAAATCAGGGAATTCTAAATTTTAAAAAAACGGTTTTCTAAAATTTACTAAAATTAAATTTTTATACTACTCCTTGATTGCTGTAAATTATATTTAATAACATTTTATACACATTCTAAAAATTAAAGCACAAAATGTTTTAAACTCTTACGACAAAGACAGAGGGATATGTTTAATTTTAAAGTTTGCGATTTTTGTGAGTTTTCATAGTGTCAGAAAATCAAATTTTTTTCTCTCCTAGATAGGTCGTCCCTCCATTTATTGCAATTTAATGATATTCTTTTGTGACTTACTAGTGCGTAACATTCTTTAATTTATAATTTTGTTAAATTTAGTGTACCGAAAGTATTTTGGAAACATTTCGATATGTTTAGCAGTTTATAAGGTTCCAAAGGTTAAAAAGAATGTCAGAAATATTCAATGCCATTTCATCATTTGAGGGTCATAACGTAATAAGTGTACAAAAAATTAATCGTTCTAGAAACACTTTGCAGTTTTGATTTATGCAAATAATGATACAGGCTGGCTGTGCATCAAACTAATTCTGTAACAGTATATCGATAAAAATTGTATTTCTTAAAACTTTTTGCAGCAGTCTGCGTATCAGTGCTGCTAATGCATTGCAAGCATAAACCTTTTACTGATGTTAGACTTCATTTTTAGTTATTACATACAGATTTTTATATTTCAATCAGAATTTCTTTCAAAATTTTCAGAAAGCGCGATCTCAAATTTTAAATATCGTAGTCAAATTTATTCTTCAGAAATCAAACATATTTGACATGTTATATTTTAGGATAAGTATAAACGGTTACCAAGTATAACTACAGAGACCGGTGAATCATATAAAAAGTTAAATTTCGTAATTTTTACAAAAATTTCTTTTTATTGCCCCAGAAGTCAAATTTTTGACAATTTATATTTTAGAAGGAATATAAATTTTTAGTAACTATAATTATAGGGAGCGGTATGCCTATAACCTATAAAATGTTAGATTTTGTAATTTTTACAAAATTGAATTTTACTGTTCAGAAGTCAAACATTTGACATGTTATATTTCAGGATGAGTATAAACTTTTAATAAACGTAAGTACGGTAACCGATGTACCGTATAAAAAGTTAGGTTTCGCAATTTTTAAAAAATATATTTTTTAAAGTTAAACGTGCCGAAACATAAGTACTTGCGCCATATAAAAACATTTTCTGACTGAAAACATATATCAATGGCAACAACTGTAAAAATAAAGGCGGCATAAGGATTTTTATAGACGTTATTTATAAATACTTCCCCTAGTGTATGAGCCCATAACGGCCTATCCGCTCACTCGAAATGTAATATCAAATATTGTTACTTGAAGGTATGCGCTCGAGAATGTAATGATTTACAATAATAGAAGTCTCACGGTTACAGTTACAGCGAAAGCATTTCGAAATTTTTGAATGGCAACACCGAGACCACAAATGGTACTGGCCAAATGGTACAAATTGCCGGCGTAAACATTTGCAAAGAAGATCCTTGTAAAGGACAAATCACAATACAAGAAAAAAAGAGAAAGGATAAACTTTTATTGAAATTACAAGTTCTTAACACGTACAACTTTTCAAGGTGCAGTCATCTCACAACACATCCCGCAACATCACAGTTTCATGGAAACCACGGTCCCCAACCTAATTCAGATGGATTTCTGGTTCTGGGGATATCTAAAATTTAAGGTGTATGCATCAAATCTACGAGATTAGTCAGAACTGAAAGATGTCATAAAACGTTAAATTAATACAAATTTCTCCTGCAATGTTATGTTTGTCATTGCCGACAACAATCTTCCGCATGCAATGCGTTATCATCTACTAACGTTGGTACGTTGAAAACTTGTAATTCTAATCAAAGTTTTTTTTTTTTTTTTTTTTTTTTTTTTTTTTTTTTTTTTTCTGTCGCTTCTCATGTGTTGTCATTGATCCTTGATAACATGTATTTGCATTGTCCTTGACAATGCTCTTCTTTCAAAAAAAAAAAAAAAAGAAAAAAGAAAAAAGCTCTTCTTTGAAAAAAGCTTTCATATGTTGCCATTGATTCTTGACAACGTTCTTCTTTAAAAAACTTTCGCAATTTTCTTCATGCATGTATCGTTTCAACGCCATTTATAATTTTTCAATGCGCTGGTCAATTATCGAACGAAAAATTTGGGTATTGTCGTTCGAAAATTTCAAATATACAATCTCGAGAATATTCCTTCAAATAACACTGTCTGAAACTTGATTTCGATTGGTTGAGCGGATACGTCGGAAAGAGTTCATAAGTCGGGGAAGTTTTCCTATGACCACCCTGTATATGACTACATTTTTATTCAAATTCTTAGACAGGAACAATTTTTGAAGTCATACATCGAAATAGAGCTGATGGAAAATCCATTTTATCAAGACGCACCTAGTCACGAAATTGATTTCTTTGGAAGTCAGGGGCAAAAGTCCTCTTTTGCTACGGCAGGCAAGCAGATGGAAGATTCAATATATATTGCTCCAAACATCCCAGCGCCCGACTATGAAAATTCGAAAAGCAATTATTCTTGCTCGCTGAGTAGCAGAACTATAGTGGATAGTCACTTTGGGCATGAGTATAATTCTCTGTGCTTCAATTCTGATTATGAGACGTAAGTTTATTTTAAATTAATCTTTTTATTCTGCATTAAAAATAAGTTCTTTGGCATTCACTTCATTTTCATTCTCACATGTAGGCCACGGAAGGGGACGGCGGTGTATGCAGAAATACCAGAGCCCGATTATTATGATGATACAGCGAGCGCTCCAATTCCAAGCAAGAGCCCTTTCGGCAATTTTTCTTATAGTACCATAAATACCCCAGCACCTCTTATTTCTTATTATAAAAGGTAAGTTATTATTGTTTCTGTATACAAAATGAGTCACATCTAGTGTAAATGTAGTATGCTGACTTGCAGGTCATTGCTATTCCTCCTTTTTGTTACGGGTGATATGTTTTTGATTTTTGATGGAATTTTATGGATGGGAACGACTTTTTCCAAATTTTCTGACAGCGGTCTTTTAAGAATTTTCTTTGTGAAAATGGGGAGAGTGGGTGTGATTATTTTCTTTTCCAGAGCCTCTGTATAAGAGATAGTGTTTACTAGTAGGCATTGGTTATTACTAGGGGCAGCAAATCGCCTCGCTTCTTTTGCGGTGTGCTTGCCGCGGAAAATTTCCACTGACGATTTGATGGATTGGAATAGCGTCTCCTTTCTGCGGAGCTAACGCTTCACGCATGCGCAGTGATATGCTTCGCTAGCGTAATAGGCTGGCATCTGTTATACACTATTAGCGATGTACAGGGGTTGGACAAAAATATGGAAACACCTTTAAAAAAACATGTTTCTTTGCTTAATATGGTGTAGGAAACCCGTTGGCATCCAAAACAGCTTGCAGTCTTCTCGGAATGGATAAAATAAGTTCCTGTTTGTGCCAAGGGGAATATTATACCATTCTTCCTCAAAACGGTGGCAAGTTCAGATAACGATTGTTGGCGTGGATTAACGAGAACGCACTTTTCCGTTCCCAATGTAGACCACAAAGGTTCGATAATATTCAGGTCTGGTGACTGTGGTGGCCAGGGGAGATGGACAACTCATCTTCCCGTGTCAGAAAACCAAGTCCTGGACAATTGTGAGCTGTTGGACAGGGGCTTTGTCGTCTTCTTGGAAGACACCTCACCATCGGGGAAAAAGTTTGTACCATGGATGAACTTGTCGGCCAAAATGTTCACATAAGTTTGGCAGCATGTGCCCCTGACACAGTTATCATGCGGCTAGCAGAAAACCCGATATGGCTGCCCAAACCATAACAGAAGCCCCCGCCATGTTCACTATTAGCAAACAAGCAGTCTGTATTATGGCTTGAGATGGCGTTCTCCAGACGTAAAACTCGGCCAGAAGTGGGAAACACTGTGAAAGAAGACTCGGCAGGCCATATTACTCGCTTCCACTCTCTATAGTCCAGGCTTTATGAATAGACACCACCCCTTTCCTGTACGGGCAATCATCACTGATGAGTGGCTTCTCAATTGCAGACAATGCCAGCAATCCTGTTTAATGAAGCTCATTCTAATTGTTTGGTACGCACAGGGTTTAAACACAACATTCATTTCAGCAGTAACTTTTGCAGCTGTGGGCTTCTTTTTTTCGTCACAATGCCCTTAATGGATCGCTGTCGCGATCACTCAGGACACATTCGTCCGCGCTGTGATTTAGCAGATCATGTTTTTCGCTTTTCAAAAAATATGCGGAATAATCTTCGATACAGTACCTCTGGAAACACTAAAACACCTCGGTATCTTGCTTACAGAAGCACCTACCTACGTGCTCCAACAATTTGCCAACGTTCGAAGTCTTTAACTCTGACATAATGCAATGAAACCTCATAACAGTACTCCGACAAAATGAACTTTTTAGACATTTACGAAGTTGTAGAGGGGCGTCAGTAGTCAAAAACGCCCCACCTACACCTAATATTTCGTTTTAAAATCAAATTTCTTTTCAAAACAGCATTTCACAAGGTGTTTCCATATTTTTGTCCATCCACTGTATCATAAGATTGGCGATTAATGTTGTTCCGTTAAATATTGCACCGCTAGAGTTAGCCCTGACTTACCGGTTTACTTGTGCGATTAATACTTATAAATTTGAGTCACTAAACTAAAAGATTTTTGTGAATTTGTATATGTAGACTAACATTAATATAGGATACATTAATACAGGATATTACTTTAATTACATTAATATAGGATACATTACTTCGCTGAGGTTGTCTCTTGTTACCTCGAGGGTGATTTAGTGACTTCCTCTTTTGGTGTTAGTTCTAGTGTTAGTTAGTCCGATGAATTTTGAGGGTAGTTTTTGAATGTCACTTGGTCTTGAAAGTTTGAAATGATATTTTCGATGACTGTGATCGCATTCTGTGTTGAAATACCTTCATGGGGGCTGGATGAAATTGTGTTATATGAGATCAACTGTTGTAAGAGGCTTAGAGAGGTTATTGTTGATTATTGACTCGAGAGGATTTTCTTGGTTTGCTGATGCCATTTGGAGGCTATATGGTTATTGGGGGTATCTGATTACTGAGAACAGGTAATTGTTGTTAATGATGCTGGAAAGCTTTAGTGTTAGTAAGTAATATTGTGTCGTCTGGTTCTCTGTTCCTTTTTTAGGCGGACAGAGTTTCTTTGTTTCAGTACCCAGTTTTTATTTGTTGTTTCAGTGACCAGTTTTCTTTAAGTCGAATCGTTGTGATTAGTACTGCTTGAACCAGAGTATCCTTAGATATTTTCAGTTGACAAATACGAGCAAGCACTACCCTCACGGTCGGTTTTAAGTTATTTTGATTCACTAGAGGGATTAAAGTTGTTAGCTGTATTCGTTGTTCAGAACTCCGAATTCTGTTACAGTTCAAGAGAATAGCTAACATGTTTGGATAATTATTCGAACTAAAATGTGAGATTAAAGCGTTAAATGTGTGATACTTAGGTACAGCGAACGTAAAATAGTAATCAATGTTATCTGACATCAAGCACTGCACTTAAAGCGGAGGAAGTCTGATAGATGAGGAAGGATCTCTGTCTTCAATGTTGTTTTCTTTGCTTGGAAATTGGTTTAAGAATTTCGGTACATTTATGCAGTTTGCTTTGAAGTGCTTGTATACAGAAACTGCCTTTATAAGGAGATGCGCACCCTTATAAAGTTTTCTGTCTTTACGAACAGCCACCGACTTACATAAGGGAACGAGCACCCACATGAAAGCGTCTCGGTAAGAGAAGATGAGACACACTATCTTTTATTTTATTTTTCGTTTTTTCATTTTATTTATGTGTTTATTCAGTGAATCAAAAATTCGAGTCTGAATTATTGCCTGAAAAGAAAAATTGATTTGAGAATAATATAGCGTAAAATAATACAGTATGTCCTGGTGTATATTTTTCCCTTTTTTTACGAATATTATGATCTGAAATTCAAGAGGGGAAAATTATCCAAATAATTTAATTTCCAAACGACCCTGTAACAGTAAACACATAACGTAAATTAGTGTCGATAAACTACACATAACAATCACATCTTTAACAGAAACGTGCATTCATATAAGAATGCAATATTAAAATTGCAGTATGTGATTTGCAGTAACTCGGTATCTCTCTCCCGTTCTTATTACTTGTTAGCCCTCGTATAATCGATAAGTAATCACAGTAGGTAAAGTGCAGCTGACTTAGCGAAATCGTAGACTGAATATCAGTTCACGTTTGATTCAGTTTGATTGGTAGGTTTTTGTATTAGACAAGCATAAAATGACATAGTAAGAAGGTAAAGGTTTAGCCGTGATCTTCGCAAGTTTTTCACGACTAAGTTTCTTTATTAGTAAGATGAAAACAATGACTAAATTGATGAATCCGTCTTAAAATTTAGTTGAACTTGTTATTTAAACGCATTGTAAAAGGAGAAAATTACACGATATTTTTTTGAATTATTATTATTATTATTATTTTTAATTTTCAGAAACTGGTGCTCAAATGCTAGGGTAAAAATTAAACGAGAAAATACAGTGCATCTTTCTTCACACGTACTGTTCTAAATGTTTCATTCGACAATATCGCAATTTTATGCATTTGTTTTTCAATCTAGTTTGGTTGTCTAGTTATGCTAAGGCCATATCACTTAAGGAATAAAAATTCTTTAAACTATACTGCACGTTCGTTTGCCGCTTAGCTGAAACATATAATATAAATACTTTTAAAGAAATGGAACATGATTTTGTCTATTTTTACTATATTCTAAGCATTGCAATCGTGAAATATTTCGGGTATCATATTTCGACGAAAATATCCATTTTGACCGTGATCAAACGTAATTTAACGATGTTTTTGAGTGCCATCTGTACGCAAGGACAGACTAAAGAATTTTTTCTCCTAAAATGAATTTTAAAATGGATCCAGAATAGATGCTTTTCGTGACGTCTGTACGTACGTATGTATGTATCTCGCACTAGCAAAAACGTAGCCTCAGAACGTTGAAATTTTGTATATAGAACTGCTAGAACATGCACTTGTGCATCTCCCTTTTTTGTTGTAATCGGCTGCACCAAAAAGTATATAAATATGTATCTATATATACAAACTCTGTTTTTCGGATGGGTGAACTCATTTTTTTTATTCTAAAATGTTGGTAAATTGTGCATTTTTGGCTTTAAAAAAGATTGAATTATGTTGCCCCAATGTTCCGGTAGCTGTAGTTGTAGAAGTATCATCAATAGTTGCAGAATTATCAATTTAAAAGTTGTTTAAGTGCGGCTAAGCCTAATGGAACAGCTATATTTGTTTACATTTGAAACTTAGCAGAATAGTGAATTAAGTCACTTTCTGCACTTTCTATGTCTTTTCGCCGAGTGGGGCCGAAAGTAAGTTTTGTGTTCAGTTTTTCACTTTACAGTTAGGTGCACTGAAAAATCGGCCTTTTTATATGCTGGCAGAATTGCTTGCTTTTGCGTAGAAACTCTAATCTTAATTATAGAAATTATTTCTTAAATGATTTAACTGTATGTGTTGTTTTATATGTTTTCATATTTTTCAATTTTTAATAAAGATATTTTGAGTTTTTAATGTATTTTTGCATTGCCGCGAACTGAATTAATTGAATTCGAAATATATCTCCGAAATAAGTTTAAATGAAATCCAGCCAAAAATGTGTATAATTTAATAGGCAGTACAAGGAAGTCATGTGGTGCCCACATCAGACTTTTTATATTTTAATATGTCAAGGAATGTATTTTGGCAGTCCCTGTTATCTTTATTGTAAATCTTAAAACTAATTTTATCTTGATTTCGTATACTACGAAATGCTTTCAAATCTGTTCTTTTCCATGAAAGCATATTTTATTGGAGTCCTATATCATCGTTTACTGAAATTCCCATTTTATCACATTCCTTTATTGATGCGTTTTTTCTGTGCATTTTATTTATTTATTTTCTCCAGTAAATTTCCGCTTGAAGTTTTCTAGTTCAGTCATATTTATCTCCCACATTTTTGAAATTTCAAACATATTTGACGGGATTATAACATCATTTTGATTTAGTCTCATTACTTGGCGTTTTTTTAAAGTATTTCTAGCGCAGATTTACATAATGTTAAATAGTAATGCACATGATTTTTAATACACTACGGCTCTCACCTTGATGATTTTTCAGTGGATTTTTATTATACACCATACCTATCAAAGACAACGTGCGACCTTTATTTTCACAAACGTTGGTCGTAGGCATATACGTTCAATAACAAAACTGTTTTAAATGTTACAAATACACATGTATTGGCATTTTTAAATTAAAACATTAACTTCGCAAAAGTTAGAAAATCTAACTATTACGCTCAAAGGGGCGTGTTTTCTTTAATTATTTTTTTATTATTATTTTTATTTATACACACATGCAAGTTTCGAGAGCATTAAGGTTAATGACGCTTTAGGCTAAAAATATTTAAAAACAGCGTATCTTTAAAATTAGACAGTCTGGCGCGCTGATATAAAAATGCTTTGTTCGCTACAGTTTTGCCAAACCTCACTTTGAAATTGTTGAGTCGTTTGATCAAAAATTCCTTAAAGTTTTACAGATCGAGAAATAGGCAATAAAACAAATTCCAATTTCGGGCTTCCAGATGCCCATGTTTCGGCACCTTATTAAAAATTTAATCACTCCAGGTACCTTTGTTTTCCACAATGTGAGAGACATACATTCATTCATGTAGGTAGTTCATTATTTAGTTTCTTTAAAGATAATACAGGGCGATAATATTTGGTTACAACAATCTAAAAACGTATTTGGACTTTTATAGTGATTCGACGCAGAATGCCGTTTTGAGACTTAATAGCTCTTGTTTACTAACGTCCATTTTAGCTTTAAAAAAAAACAAAAAAAAAAAAAAAAAAAAAAAAAAAAAAAAAAAAAAAAAAAAAAACTGAAAAGTCATGCAAATTTGCACCAGAATCACAATTAAAAAAAGTCTGAAAGCCTTCAGATTTTATATTACGCCTAAAGGGGCGTTTTTCAAAGTTTTTTTTTTTTTTTTTTTTTTTACCTTTTATTAAATATGATGTTCTTCGCGGTTAATCCACATAAAATTCAGTTCAACAGCAATACCACAAAATACTTAGAAACAGCATATCTTTAGAATTTCTCATAGACTGCAGAAGATAATTTTTGTTCTTTTACAGTGTTTGCCATTGCTCGCTTTGGAATCGTAAAATTTGTTAATCAGAAATTCGCTAAAGTTTTATAAAATATGAAATAGGTATTAAAACAAATTCGAAATTAAAAATTTGGGTTTCCAGGTGTCCATGTTCAGGTGGAAGATTACGTTAATCAAAATTTGGTGGCTCTAGGTACCGTAGTTTTCCACAATGCGAGAAACATGCATACATTCCTGCAGATTTTTCATTATTTAATCTCTTTAAATGTAATATAGGACGATAATACTGGGTAGCAACAATTTAAAAAGTGATTCACCGTTTATAGTGATACGCCACAACATGCCGCTACCTTCCCTTTAGGCTAAAAGAAAATATATTTATACGACAAAATTTGGAAGGGATACTTTTATACGACAAAATTTGGAAGGGATACTTTTATAGGATCTTTCAGGCTTTTCGAATACTGAAACATGAAAAATCAACGACGTTATCGCCGAGATTCGCACTTTGTATCTCCCGATTAACTATCAGGGAGGTTTTCCAATTATGCTACGAAAGAGTGTAGTGAGGAAAGCTCGAATGCATTACATGTCCCCTCATTGAAGGGGCCATTGGGACACAGTTACGAGAATGACTTGGGTATGACAAGATCATTTTAGAAGTCTGACTGTGCTTGAAATAAGACGTGCTCTCTGAGCACTGTCCAAAATACTGCGGATTGTCCAAAATACTGCGGAGAGTCTGATTTGTTTTAGTCTTTAGTGCTTAATATCGTTTTTTGCATATATCATGGCTCACTTCGTGAGTCGATGGACTTGAATGAATCAGAATATTTGGATACAGATTTGTCACTGAAATCAGCTGCCGTCCTTATGACGAAAGACAAACTTCGGAAGGATGCTAGTGAAGCTGCTAGAAGAAGTCACAGAAATTATGGAAGCTTCTAAAAAACTCTAATCTGAATCCAGGTATAAGTCTCAGTAACGTGTTCAATTATGTACCAGATATTTACTTATTCGAATCAAGTAAAAATGTAAAGAAACAAGGTTTTTTTTGTTTGTCACCGAATTTTCCACCTGCAAGAATCCTGATAAAGAAACGGAGACTGCAGAAAAAAAGGTCCACGCATACGTACCTAAACACATGAAAACTACGGATGCAGGTTGAATGGAGCCTATCAGAACAACCAGAGACCTATGCAGGCATACCTGAGATACCCCAGAAAATTTGTTTTAAAAATCTGAATGAGGAGAAACTAAAAAGTGAACGTCAGATAACAGAAACTCTGAATGCTATAGCAGTAAAGGAGAAGTTAATCACGGATATTTCACACGATACAAAAAAGTTAGCTGGAAGCAGTTATAAGAATTGTTAAGAAGAAAAGACATCAAAGACTATGAAGGAATTGTCCGTGCTGACAGTACTACAACTTTCTTCAAGACAGAAGCAGCAAGAGCAATGGACATGTACTACCTTCTGAATAAAAATGTTCAATACAACTCTTTTCGCCAGGAAATATAGATAAAAGTCGTTCTCCGAAGATTGGATGCCGATTTTACCGAGCAGAGAATTCTAGAATCAAGTCAAGATATTCCAATCAAGAAGGTGAAACAGTTTCCCCCGAACTTAATGAGCGTCTTAAAAGGCACCCTGTTTACTTCACGTAAGGGCTAAAAGTGAGGAAGGAAAGAGGACTGAGAATTCAGTATCTTCTCCACAGGAGAGTGTGGAGAAGATACTGAATTCTTTAAATCATGAAAGTTTCCAGTACAGAGTTTCTATTGTTAGCTCTTCGGACACCCTCAGTCCGGATGTTATGCCCCAATGTGTATGAAATGCTTAAAAGATACCTGACATATAAATACCCTCTAACGAAGGATGATAAACCAACCCGCGTTCTTTGTTCCGGCGAATACACAACGGCATCGAAATCACACCCTGAACTTTCCAAACCACAAGAAATTAATACTACCATACCGAAAGTTCGCATGCTCAAAACCGAAGCTCAGGGTCCTCAGAACGAACTGCAGCAAAGAACCAATTGCGAAAACGGGCGAAAAAATTCTGACTTAGCTCAAGAAATTCAAAGCATCCTGATTTATAAAAGGCTTATAAGATGTCGACGGGATTTCTCTGTGTTGACTGATGATTATAGAAATGAAAAGATTCCTCTGCATGAACCTACGTGTTCGACAGAAGGCAGTGGAAATTCTTGAAAACAGGGATTATAACCGTAATTAAAATTTGAAAAAAAATCTGCAAAACCGCCCTTTCTTCACAGCACCACTGGAGCCACTTCGCACTTTTCTCCAATTTGAATACCATATGATTTTAACTCAGCTGATGTTATTTCGAAACGGTTGTTATTTCGATGGCGACTGGTCCTTAAGACGAGAACTCCAGTCTTGCACCGCTTAAATGGGAGAAAGGAAGAGAACCAGTTTCTATGTCCCAGTTCTTCTAATGGCAACCTAATATTTTGTGTTTTATTTTCATGAACTTTCATTAAATGCGAATACAAGAACTGGGGGAAAAATGTGTAAAAAACCACACTTCGCGACTTTTACAATTTTGTTTTCAGCTGCATTTGCGAAAAGGCTGCGTAAATGGCTTTCACCAGATATTTATACACCTTTCATGGTGCATAAATTTTTATACGGAAGAGACCGAACACACGAAAAACTAGAAATTAAATTCCAAATGAAACAATTGTTTTGTTTAAATTAATTACTGTTTTTCTGATTTGTGTATACATTTCATTATTTATTTTAGGTGCTCAAGCAATGACATTTTACCTGATTCTCCAGAAAATCATGGAATTGGAACGCTTCTCATTAGATCCTTAGTTACAATCTGCATTATGGTTTGGAAAGTATCCGCAGTATGTCTTCTCACCGTTTCTATCATAAGAGTGTGTGATAACGGTATACAGTATCTCTGGACCACAACTCAAGGACATGTGATCATCTCGTTAACCATATTTTTAGTTTTATCGTTCCTCCTTTATATGTTGAGATCTTGCTGTAAGAGGAATCGTACTGTCAATCGAACACCAGTTTTCTTATAAATCTGTGAAACATCTGTAAATAAAGCCAAGTAACTAATAAGTGTGTAATATAGCATAAGGACTATAGTTTGTAAATAAAGGCAATTATTTTGGATAAAAATATTTGTTTTTATTTCCTGTACATAAATTATAATTTATGAACAAAAAATGAAAATAGCATTTTTAATTGAATATTAATAATTAATAATTAATTATTGTTAAAAATTTAACTAAGCAACGTTGTGTTCATTGTGTAATAATGTTATTTCGGAGAAGGAATCAATGAGAATTTGGAGTTGTTTTCATTATTTTTAATTCTTTCTGAAGAAAATGATCCAGTTTTATTTTATCTCCTCAAAATTTGAGAAATAATCTATTTTCCAATACCAACCGCAGATACAATATTTCTTACAATCATGGATGAGTCACTGTTAAGGGCAATTATCTTTGCTCTCGTTCTGGGCATAACATCCATTTTTAGTACACTAAAATGAATGAGTACAAAATGTATTTAAAAAGTACACAAAAGTAACTTCCTCTTCTAACCTAAACAAACTTAAAAATGTAGGAATGATCCTAATTTATTGTCTAAACCAGCTCTCTGGGTAGTGGAAAACAGACATCAAGATGCCATTAAGGCAGATAAAACTGCTTAGAAGCACCTGCTGATGCTAGCTGGCATCCGACTTAAAAATGCGTGAAAAAAAATCACTTAATTAATTTGCGTACTATGATAATTTTGTATCACATATATTGACACATATGAATACGATTTACATAATAATTTTTAAATGTATTAATTAGAAAGAAAATAAGTAATAAACGATATTTTTACAACCACAAACATCGCGTCCCGAAAATCAGAGATTCGTGCACACGATTGGCAAGTAACAAAAACAAGTTCCTTTAGTATCAACACGCCAGTAAGAAAAAAATATTAATATTGAAATACTCCTAGCAATTATATACGAGTATATTAAGCGGAACTTAGTTTCATTTAATGGAATATTAGATACAATTCAGTATAGTTGAAATATCAGTATTTTTGGAATTTGTTGACTTTATTGTTGTTTTGATTACTGAAATCTGCTAATTTGCAAATTGCTGAATTTCAGTACTGTTGAAATAGTTAAGTGTTGCTGAAAATAAAGTTTCAATTGTGTTTAATTGGTGCATTAGAAATGCAAAATCAGACACAGCATTTCTGAATAATTTCAGATCAAGAAATTTGTAGAGCTCTTGTCTCATAATGATAGCTTTGTATCTCCTAGTGTACATAAAATGACTCGTAAAATACTGCATATGAAATAATTAGTTTGTGTTTGAGTCTCCCGTAAATTAGCAGAACACGAAAATTGGAGCGTTTCAGAATTAGTAGAGAAACTCTAAAATTACTTAATGATGGTGGTGGAAACCGCATTGTTTCTAAGATCATAACTGGTGAAAAAGCGTAAGTGCCGGTGCTTGGCGTTTCAACACATCGGAAAAGCAAAGTATGGGCCTTTAAATATCACCCTAACCATAAATGGTGAAAAAACAATCATCAATGAAAACGGAATGTATGCTGTTTCCTTTAGAAGTGCGAAAGTGGTCAAAGCTATCCAGTTAGAGGAACAGAAGACAGTTACAAATTACTAATACATCACTAAGTGTCTTCTTGTCTCCGAGCAATTCTTCAAAAAGTGAATAATAGAGGACTTATGCTTCACTATGCATTTTTAATGCATTTTTTAATTTTTTTTGTAATGCATTTTTTCATTCGGCAAGGCTGACAGCCGAATTTCCTGCAATAAAACATTTCAAACGCCCTCTGTGCTACTCTCTTGATCTTGCCATTTGCCTAACCATTAACTATTCTTTTATCTAAAACACAAATTTACAAGGCCATCGCTTTCATTCCGAAGATTGGATTGATAAAGCTATAAAAGCATGTTTTTCATCGATTGTAATAAATAGATGATTTCAATCATTTAATCTCTGAAAATTTCGCCTACACCTGATGTTGGAGGAAATTATTTTTGAACACATATAAATTACTTCTACTGTTTAACTGTATTTCAAATATTTTAGACTGAGCCTTGTATTTTGCTGTTTCTAATTAGCAATCTGAAATTAACCAATTACCAGAAAGTGATATGTTGCTAAATTTGATTTTCTTCATGGAGATTCGACTAGTAAACGTTGATACGAGATATCCATAGCGAAGCATGGGCCGTAGATGGGTTTTTCTTGTAAATTTTATTGCCCACGGAAGGAGCTAAGATTTGTGCAATTTAGGAAATGACACGTATTTTAGTAGTTCTAAATTTAAAAAGCTGAATATGTAAAGAAAATTTAGAGCTGATATCTTTCATAAAAGTTCTGATATTTCCTGAACCATGAACAGACATGATGATGAGTGCCATGAACCATGAAGAAAAATTATATGAGTGCGTTTTGAAATCATTTCATTATTACATGGATCTGCCGCAGTTTTCCTTTGAGATAGATAGATTTTTAACGAATGAATGATTTTCAAATGTTCTAGCAACTAAGCTGAGATTTTTAAGTCGAAAGAAGTAAGCTGTGTTTTAGAGACATTAGATTTTTTTGGAAGCAGGAGAAGTGAAATGATGAGCAACGCCTTCGCCGGGAATCGAACCGCGGACTTCTGGAATACGCGCCCAGGGGGCAGACCACCACACAACGAAGGCATGCCAAGAACACGGTAGAAATAACTTAGGTACTTCACTTTTAAAAGGCGACTGGAGTTTTTAGTGGACGCAGTCGCCAAATTATGGGTGGGGATAATCTTCCTCCACTACCCTATTAGTTCGGGCACCACTGTAGAGTCATTAGGATTTTTTTTTTTTGATAGCAGGCAAGATGAAAAATGAGCAACGCCTTCGCCGGGAATCGAACCGCGGACCTCTGGAATACGCGTCCAGTATGCAGACCGCGAAGGCACTGTAAGAAGGCGGAAGAATACCTTATAGTACCCCATTGAGAAATAGTAGGGTAACTTGTGGAAACTGGATTGGATTATTTGACCATAAAAAAGCGTATTAGAGCTATCTGTTCAAGAATAAGATTGAAAAAAGAAACGGTCAAATAACCATCATTCGCCGGAACTCGATTTCGGTACCCACTCGGCCGCTACTGGAAGTATAACAGTTTTAATACAACATGCAATGATGAAGTATGTAATTAATGAGGGCAGATTTGATGGTGGTTGATATTATCCAGGAAACTCAACATAACATAACAGCAGAACCCAGTTTTTCATTGGATTATGTCTTTCAATTAAATCCGACCAAATTAAACAAGATATATTTTCAGGCTGTTAATCTTTTGGTCATGTGCTATTTCAGTAAAAATTTTCGAAACGTAAGTTTCACCCCAGATTTCTATATAAATCGGTCCAGTTAATAAAGTAGTAAGGAAGAAAATAATTGTAGTTTTGTTAGGTGAGAAACTGACCTCGAGAGTTATCAAAATTCTCTATATGATACCTCACCTTTGATGAAATCGAACTGCGAAAAATACTGACTTTGGTACTTATATAAAACTCAATTACCTAAAAGAACAATTTTTTAGTTTTAATATTTCCACAAAAGGGAATTAGCAACTCATAAATTCGTCTCCTTGATCCAAAATGTTTTACAGGCATTTGTATTCCAGATGCTTACTTCAGTACCAATGTGCATAGGACATGTAGCTTTGAAATTTTTTATCAATGGGCACGAAATTTATATTCGAAAAATAGAAAAAATAATTCATCTATTTCGTAGCCTTTTCAAACCACAAACCATACGAGGTCAGGCATTATTCTGGAACAGTAGGACTATTCTCAAGTCATGGGATTCATTTGGTAGGCTCCAGTTCCTTGCGTAAACTTTAAAGATAAGGTGCACGTGGCTCTGTCATTAGTTGATCCTCAACTGAGAGCTTTATTGATATTTTTTCCCTGCAGCCGTTCCAGAATTTCTCAGTTTTAATTCATAAAGATATGTTCTTTTTGTTGATTACGCTCACTTGTCTGATGTAATCAGCAAAAGCCCACGAAAATCCTCATGGGAAGGCACCTGCCGTTGGCAGCAGCCTTGAGCACCATTCAGATGACGGTGCGATTTTGCTCAGTTCCGATATGTGAACTATGGGATTCCCTCACGGATTGGAGGAAACAGCGTTCCCCAAAGTCCTCATCTGTTTCTTCTTGTTAAGCAAGATTGCTACATTGCTCAGTTCCGCTCAGTTCTCACCCCTCCCCTCTTCCACCGAACCACACGAGAGAAATTTCGGCTCGCCGCATGTTTGGAGTGCCACCATGCCCCACCGACTCTATACATTTACAAACTTCTCCGTGATTCGCACCTGGGCTCTTCGGCACAGCAGTCAGTGACGCTAACAACTATACGACTGGGCGGCTCATAAAGATACACCAACCTTAATTGACTGAATTCTATGACTGACTGTATGCCTGCCATATTAAATGTTTAGAGCTCACTGCATCAGGCACGTGTGATGCTGTCCGCATGGATAAAAGAATTGTCTAAATCTCCGTTTTTGAATTCTGCAGCCTGTAGAAACCTTACGATGCATTTCATTTGAAACAACCCAATAGTAAATAACTTTTACTAATAATTTTTTTTCCCGTTATTATCAGTTCGGCGTTTCTGATTAAGACTTTTAGATTAAAAACAAATAAGAATTCCTAAAAGAACACTATGAAACTTAATTTTTCAAAACCTTTTAAAGTACACAAATATAAATATATATATATTTTTTAGAAAGGTTTTTATAACATGTCTTAAAGGAATGTCGCTCCGAAACCTAATGCAAACCGAATAAATGTAAACCGAAATATTAAGCTATGCATAGCTTAAGGGGAGCGATGCCTTCGTGGAGGACTTTCTAAGGGAAACTGGCTCGTATACACGTTACACATGGGGAAAACCATGAAAACACCCATACAGCCAGCCCGTTCGCGGCATTGGAACCTCGGACCAAACTACCAGGGTTCAGCGACTTTACCGCTCGGCCGCTGGTGGGCCATAGGAGCTGTAAATAACCTTATTATTAATAATAT